AGTATATTTGTTTTTGGTATGTAATAAGTTCGTGTGATGTTTTTTAAAGTATTTAATAGGTAGATTTATATGGTACATATTTTTTTTGTATATATTTGTTAATTATGTATTTTAATATTGGATGATTGGATGAGAGTCATGAGGCATCTAAATTAATTAACTTAATTATATTAGTCTAATAAAGTTTTAATGGATGATTAGTTATTGATGGCTTTGACGTAATTTTTTTTTTTTAAATTTCAAAATTTCTAATATTATAAATTTATCCAATTTTTTCACTTCGATTTTTTAGCCTAATCCGACATATTAGCAATATTTTAATATGAAGTATTTTTGCCGAACCATATTTTTTACCCAATTTTTTCATCCGATTTTTTAAAATAAAAATGATTTGTTTCCGATTTTATGTTGAGTCGATTTATTGATAGTCCCCGACTTGCTAACTATGCATATGGTACATGATAAACACATAAACACACACATAACCTCTAGTACACTTCTGATAAATAATATTCAGGTACTTGGAATTCCCTAGCCAATTTATATTGGAGAAAAAATCAAAATAAAAAATTTCAAAATATAAATTTTAGCATGTTTCTTTTCCAAAAAATTCCTCCTTTTAGCCATTTTTTATTTTATTTGTAACATCAAAGCACTTCAAGGTTCATCTCATATTTAAAAGGTGACAACCCAATTTTGTTTACAAAAAAAAAATAAAAATTTAGAATTTTGGAGCAACTTTTGCCCAAAAACTCACATCCACTCTTTGGGGTCGTTTGAATACCTGAAAATATATTGTCTGTGAAATATATTACTGGCGTAATACATTCCTACGTAATACATTACCTGCAAATGGATTGTTACTATTTGGGTAGTATTTAGATGCAACGTGGGAAATACATTGCTAGTGTTTGGCTATGTCTTGGAGAAATATGGGAGGTGCATTACCACCATTTTACTTGTACTTGCCTATGAACTATAATTTCTTTCTTTTTTATCACAAAATTTCACTGAAATGTAGAATTAAAGTCATCATCACACTATTTCAAAAATATTTTTTAATATAACATCATCATTATTCCAAATTGTTTTTCTAATAATAACTTGTACCATTCTAAAGTCATCATGAAACCATTTCCTACTTATTTTACATGCCTTTGGCACTTACATGGAATCACATGCCATCTAACATGAGTAGACTTTGGTTTCAACATGATAAACCATTAGAATAATATGATTGGAATAACATGATTTTATTGTGATAAGCCTTATTATTTATTTATTATAGAAGTCTTTCAAATGTCTCTCTATATAATTTCAAATAAACAATAAATTAATTATACAAAATTCAAAATCTTTATGGTACAAGTTAAAAAATTAGAAGAAGTTTGATTAGTAAACTAGAAGGTGTGGTGATTGCAGTTGAAAATTTTGAGGCATTAGAAGAGACTAAGATGTATCTTATTTCAATTGAGCTTTTATTAATCTCTTAAAAGGATTATGTTGCGTGAAATTTTTTATTATGATTGTGTTATGTAATTTATTATTTATCATTGATTACTGATTTTTATTTTTATTATTTTTGTTTTTATATGAGAGCGTATGGCTTTAGGCTACAGCCCAAATTGGGGATAGAGGGGTATAGAAATGGATGTGTACAGGAGAGTGTAGAAATGGATATGCGTAGTATGTGCAAAGACTTAGAAGTGGAGTTTAGAGAAAAAGTATATATGGATGTGCTTCGGAGAGAAAGGGAGAACGGCAGGAGAATGGATGGCTACATGAGAGAAGGTGAATGGCTGAAGATAAAGGACTTTTTTAGGGTGAGAAACGCGTATACATAGATTAGCGATTAAGCGCGTAATATATTTTATTAAGCGCGTAATGGATTTCATAGTCGTAATAGATTTCACGTTTTCGGGGAAATCTGATGTAATTTATTTAAATTTTCTTACAGAGTGTACCAAACATGATAAATCTCATATTTCCTTGTAATATGTTTCGTGTAATAGATTTTCAAGGACCCGAATGGCCCCTTCATGTCTACACCATGCATTGAAAGTTTGAAACATAACAGTTTTAGCCAACTATGGCATAAAAAATATGAGAAAAAATAGGCTTTTGAATAGATAGAGATGAGGCTTTTGAAAAATTAGGTACAGATAGGTTTTTGAACAAATTTTGCATAAAAAATAATTTGAATTTTGTTGTGGTGTACTAAAATATCCATGGTTCAAGATATCTACTCCATCAAAAATAAAGAAACACAAGGGTTTTGAGCGCAATAAATCAGAGAAAAACCACGGTTTTAGATAGAAAACAAGTATTTTCGAGCGGCATAAAATACACGTACAAAAAAGAGTAAAGAAGAAAAAAAAGGGAGGAGGGGGTTCAAACTCCAAAATAGGTTTAAATTAGACAGATATATAAACATTGAAAATCTTGAAAATGGATGTGTTGCAAGATGTATTATTTTTAATATTTAAATTGTCTTTTTTGGAAGTGCACCTTAATTCTAAAGTTGTCAACCTTATATAAACTTTTTCCATTTAAAATTTTCAAAAAATTTCATTGATTCTAAGTTAGTAGTTTTGAAGGAGGGGCAAAAAAAAAAAAAAGAAAGAGAGAGAGATAAAATATAGGACATGATATTATTGAAAATTAATCATACCACGTAATTTTTTCCCTGTTCCTTCAAAATTTGAAAACCCTTGTTTTGAGCCTCGCCATTGTGCTTCATTTGAGTTGGGGAACTAATAGAGATTGTGATATGGTAACTAAAACAAGTTTGGACTTTGGAGAGAGAGAAAGAGAGGGAGATAGAGAGTTTGTTGTTTATAATGTGAGTAATTATGAGACCCTTATACATACGGGTCATATAAGACTTCACTATTATGCCATCAGATATGCATCAAAATTACAAATCTCGAAAAAAGATGAGAGCATCGACTCTCTAAAAAGATCAAGTTAAAATTAGGAAAAAGAGAAAATTGGTGCCATAACCCCGCTCTTATGCATCCAAATTCCAAATCTCGAAGAAAGTTAAGAGCGCCAGCTCACTAGTCAAAGGACAAAAATGATCAAGTTAAAATAAGGAAAAAGAGGAAATTGGTTCCCTACTTTCTGCCTCCCTCATGCTCTATTCGCTGTTAATTGCCACTCTGCCCCACTCTCTCATCGAAGCCAATTTCAAGCTCAGGTTCCACAAGAGCGAACCCATCTCAATATTGCAAGTACATGCACCAGTTGCCTCTTCCTGCACCCCATATATGTGCTCATAACTGCAAGTAAATCCTCTCTCTCTCTCCATAACAAAAATAAATAAAAGGCCTCTGCTCCTCTTTTAATCCTCTCTCTAAAATCCATTGCTACAATAGTGATTGGGTGAATTTTGAGCAAATATATGTTGTAGCAAACATATTGGTTCTCGTCGTGGAAAACTATCTCTAAAATTCATCTATAAAAATATTGTACCTCTTGATGGGAAAAAACATTGGGCGACTCCAAAGAGAAGAAAAGCTTGTTGGGTTGCCATAATTTACAAGGAGCAAAAACAGCCAAGGCTTGGAAGAGTCGTTACAACAAAGTTTATAGAGTAGAATCCGAGCCCTCTTCCATCAACTGAAGACTCACCTTCCGTCATTAAATTTGATCAGATTCTAGCAAGAATTGACCTGAAAGCCCACCGTATCCCCTTTCTGGCCACCCAATCTTGCTAGAAGCCTCTACCTAAAATCAATAAAGAGAAAGAAAAGGCCAAAGGGGTCTCGAAGCTTGATTGTGTTACGTGTGGCTTCTCTGATCGCGGAATATGCAGGAGCCTGTGCTCTCAATTCTTTAGTTTTTAATCGACCTGAGTGAGAGAGAGAGAGAGCTTCATCGGGGAAGGGAGAATGTTTCTACTCTTTGCATGAGATCACATTTTCTTTCTGGTTTTTTAAACTTTGACACCGTTTACCTGTCAGCTGGAGTGGCATTTTTTTCTCGAGATACAGATGCACACAAAAATAGTAGCCCTTATGGGTGAGGGCCTCATAAGATCATTAGTCTTATAATATATATAGAGAGAGTTTGTTGTTTAATAATACAGAGAGGGAAGAGAGAGTTTGTTGTTTTATATATATATAGAGAAAGAGAGAGAGAGAGATTTTGTTGTTTTATAGAGAACTTTGGAGAGATGATTGTTACAAGGAGAGAGAGAATTTGTATTTGTCATGTATATAAAGTGAAAAGATTTTATGCTCATGTGAGGAAATATATTGTCTTCTTACTCCTTATGGCAAACCTAACCTATGGGACCCTAAATTTTGGAAATGTAATTTCTTGAACGTAGCTGCTAGTCTAAAATAGCCAAGGAACTGAAATCACACTTTTTTTATTTGCCTAAACAATAATTTCCCAAAATTATACATGAACAAATCAAAATTTGCAATCTTTATCTGCATTGCCTAAAAATTAATTTCTCAATATTGTACATGAACAAATCAAAGTTTGCAATCTATCTATATTGCCTGGCTGAGAAAAAGAAAAAGAAAAAGAAAAATTGTTTCTAGAACAAGGCTGTTCAATTTTTAGATGAAAAGTTCTAAATTTAAATAACTCAAAATTTAAATATGTTTTTCTTATATGGTGATTCATATCCTATATACAATAAATCTAGATGTAAATATATTTTTCTCAAATAAATGTAGGGTGAGGTGAGGTTAGTATAAGGTGCCATTTTATTGTGTATAAGTAATCACACCTCTAAATTTTGCTAGAATATGTAGTTTCCACATTAGAAACGTAAGAGGCTTGAAATTTTATGTTGAACTTTAGTTATAAAATTTAAATATTTAAAAACAACAGAGATCTATAAAATTTTGAAAATCTAAAAATAGACGGTTTAGATAAAGTCGTTATTAGAGCACTTTTTTAAGAATTGAAATTCTTGTTTTCCTTTATATTTATGTATGTCGGGATCGAGATGATCAATCGGCTTTCCAACTCTAAAATATTATTTTCTACAAGATTTTTGAGGTGCACCTTAGTTCTACCGGACAAGAGGAGAGGGAAAGAGAGAGAGAGGATTTTCAGCATCCAAGAGAGAGAGAGATGAACATTTGTTAGCTATCTTAATAAAGAGAGAGAGATACATTCCATATAGCTTAATCTAATAGGACCCATTTTTTCTCTCTTCGTCACTTGTTTATAAGACACGTTTTTCTCTCTCATCTTGCTCAGATGGGTGGGGATTATTAGCTGAGTACTCTCTCTCTCTCTCTCTTTGCAGCATGGGCGATCTGAGCTATATTGCCACTGTAAATGGAGTATCCTGCTATAAGTCATTTTCCCCTAAGGCTCCTCACCTTGTAGGGTGCCCCATCAAAGGGAAGCTGTCCTTTTCTTCTTCGATTCAATGTACCCGTCTCTGTGTGTATGTGTGTGTGTGTTTTATTTAGTCATGCAGGGGATTTTTGCATAAAAAGTTGCCACCTTCTTCAATCTTTGATCCCCATAAATATTTCTCTTACTATCTCTCTCCTTCCTCTCATTTTTTTCTACTGGGAAACAGCTGTTGTCACAGTCATGATTGCAGACTCAAACTAAGCTTAAACGCCCTGATCAATGAGCCAAAAAAAAAAAAAAAAGAGAGATCTTTTTTGAAATTGTTTCATGGTTTTATGGAACCCAACTAAATTTCCTTCAAAATTTGTGCATTTTTTATTTAAGTTGGAGAACTATTCAGTTCTTCCCGTAACCCTTTTTTTTTTTGTTGGATCGATAGTTTTATGTAACCCATTGTTTGAATTCTATTTGTTACAATTCTCTTTACTAACAATATTGAGCTCTCTCTCTCTCTCTGTCTCTCTCTCTCACACACACACGCACACACATTGTATGCAGGGTGTCCAGTTAGACTGGCATCTTGTAAAATTGCAGAGGAGAAGAGGAATAGGTCAAACCCCTTCGTAGTTTCAGCAGAGGTGAAACATTTGATAGGTTTCCTTGTTAAAACTGAAGGTCTTCGATTTGCAATTGTAAGTATTTCCCTAGTTTATTTTATTGATGGTTTATCATAATTATTAGTTTTTAATGAGACTATTGGGATTTTGATAGTGTCTTAGCTGAATTTTAACTACTACTATTAATTTACTCTGAAAAGTTCAATTCATTTGAAAAACTGAATAGATGGGTACGTTTAAATTTGAGGTGGCATGTTTGATCATCAAAGGGTCATTAAAATGCGAATTTCAGTTTGAACTCTCGAACTGAGGTAGCATAAAAATGAGCATACAAATAAGCCAAAAACAAATCGTATACATGCAAATTGAATGTCAATTTTGTGTGTATGCGAGAGAGAGAGAGAGAGAGAGAGAGAGAGAGAGAGAGAGAGAGAGAGAG